TACAATGGGGCTCTGCTGATCTGTGACAGGAGGCTGAGCAGTGCGGGAAGGAGAGACGCTGGCCGCTCACATCGCTCTCCTCCCTGCACCGCTCGGGGTCCTGTCAGTTTCTCTCCTCCCCGCTGGGACACAGAGCAGAGCACAGCGGGGAGGAGAGAAATCACGAATGCACCGCTTTTTTGGCAAAAAAATTGCACTTTCGGCATTTTGCCAAAAGTGCCATTAGCGGCCGATATATCGGTGCATACCTAGTTAAGAGAGAACTATGGGGTAAGTGTTTTTCCCAATAGTTCTCTTTAGTATATGTCTTCCCATGACCCAAAGCTCAGTATATAGCAAGCTATTGCCCACGATATACTGAGAGCGCCGCAGCCGGGACTGTCAAGACAATACTGTCAAGATCCACCCAACTGTGTGATTAACAGTGGGCTCTGCGTATCTAGAGGCAGAGCCAGCTGTGCCCACCCCCTCCCCCATCCATTCCTCCACTCAGCACTGGAGGATCAGAGAGGGGGGAATCCCTGCAGGGAGCGCTGACAGTCACTGCAGGGAGACGATCAGGAAGTGAGCGGATTGGTGCATGTTTCTGCTCACCTCCCGATCAATAGCCGACCTGCGACAGTTTCTTTGTCACAGGTCGGCTCTAACTATGAGAATGAGTGGAAATCAATCACCTCATAGTTCTCCTTTTAAGTGTGGGTTTTGGTCTGGGGCGAAAATAAAGATATAATCAACATGATCCTCAGTCCTGCGGTAGTCAGCGCTCACCTCTCTTCCCCTTCACTCTGGTGGTGGAATGTCCCTCGATGTGCTCACATTTAAAGCAGTAGATGTATAAGAACTGGACCACTGGAACCCAGGGGAGAAGTGGCTGCAGGGGCTGGTCTAGCAGCCTAGCAGGACCAAAGATCAGCCGAGTATATTTTCTTTAATTATTACAGGTATTTATATAGTGCCAACAATTTATGCAGCGCTTTACATAGTGCACATGCAATAGTAAGACATGAGCACTCCAAAGTTACTTTTATTGGACGCATGTGCATGTCATCACATTGTAGCAACATTTTGGGTTCAGGATCACATGGTTTTGCCTGATGAAGGGAATACTGCGTGACCCAAAACGTCACTACAATGTGATGACATGCACATCCGTCAATAAAAGATATTCTTCAGTAACTTTAGAGTGCCCGTGTCCTACTATTGTATGTTCTGTTACAGCGCCATCTATTGGTCATTGTTGCACCCACTACTTGCCAGGGACTAGACTGTCAGGAGGGGGGCTGGTTTTATGGACTTTTACATAGTTGCACATTCACATCAGTCCCTGCCCTCAAGGAGCTTACAATCTAAGGTCTCTATCTCACATGCATACAAAGGCCGATTTAGACAGGAGCCAATTAACCTTCCAGCATGTCTTTGGAGTGGGAGGAAATTTGAGTACCCGGAGAAAACCTATGCAAGCACAGGCGTAATGGCAACTGTTAAAGCAGACCTTTACACTCAATCAAATTCTACCAATTCATCCTTCTATGTATGATGATTAAGAATAACAGATATTGCAGGTGTAAAATGCTGTGATTTTGAAATACACTTGCAGAGCATTCACTTCCTGCTTTGAAAGGGCAAAATTACTTCAGTTTGCCCAAGCATTGCATCCTGGGAAGGTTACATCAGCAGAGCATTGCTGGCGAAACTCATCTGAGCGAAAGGCATTTTCCTCCCCTGACATGATGTGCATGGTCACATGTGCCAGATTTTCAGGAAGTAAAAGGAGATCTAGTAACAGAAGATATATTGCTGCACTCCTTGCTGATTACACAAAGTATACTGTAAATAGATCCTCAACTGTATGGTCAGCTTTATTCTAAAATCATGTAAACAGGGACAAAAAAAATTGTCCTCCACTCACCATGTTCTTTTCAGTGCAATTGCCACACTAGTTCAAGTTTATTGGATGTGCTTATTAGGAATTATCAGTAAACAATATGTCAAGGCAACTGGACTTGCTGTATTGTTCTTGGACATTTCACTGGTCATCTAACCAGCTTTCTCAATTCAGAATGACTTGTACAAAAATTATCTGGGAATAAATATGGTGAATATTGCTCCAATCCACATAATCTGTAAAAAGGTGCCCATACACTGTGTAAGACTTTTGTCTTGCGATGGTTGTAAAGTACTTAAAAAAACGTACGATCTGCCCATCTTGGACAGGCAGATCGTACTTGCGATCATCGCAAGCCACGCCCCCTGAGGGGTGAGCTTCCGATGACTGCAATGCTGAATGGGCAGTGTGCACACCGGCCCGTTCGGCAGTGATCTCTCGATCATGTTAAAAACCAGCCGAAAATCGTATAATTCTCTGCTGGTTTTCCAACATGCTCGATATGAAAAAGAAGTGCGACCGTACATTAGAAAAGGTTGCACGCCTTCCATACACTGCACTATTAGAAAAGGTCGCACGCCTTCCATACACTGCACGATTCTCGTACGATCGCAGGATTTACCGCGATTCTCGTAGGAGAATCGTGCAGTGTATGGGCACCTTTAGTCACAACCAGGTGCTGTATTTGCATAATCAACACCTGATCAGGATGTGTACTTTGAAAGAGGTTCAAAAGAGGTGTGAAAGAGGCCATTCATGTCAATATGGAGAAGGCATGCTTGAATAGGAGGTGGTGGGGGGGGGAAGCTGGTTGGATGACCAGTGAAAAACGTCAAGAAAAATACAGCTAGAGGACAAAAAAGAAGCGCTACTACCCACAATTGTAATTACTTGAGTCAGTTTATAAAATGATTGAAGTGTGATACATAAGAGGCATATGTGCAGAAATAAGGAAAGGTGACTCACTGTTTGATGGACGTGTGTAGTCCCTGCTGGTGGAGAAAGGAAAATGATGATGGCTTGTAGTCACAATCGGCTCCTGTGGCTAGAGCGCAGGGAAAAAATGCAGCTGGCTGGAGGTGGCATCATGCAGCCATGTCTGAGAACGAGCTGAGCACTCAATGCAATAGTGCTGTCGGGTGCCGTGAGGACTCGGCTGGCCAGGCTGTGTCCTGTCGGCTGTACAAAGTAAGAGGCAAAAGGAGCCGCTCTGCGGCGATTATTCCACTGTCAGCAAACAGTGAGTGGTGCATATACTTTGAAGCGGGCACGGGCTGGCCAGCTGAACAGTCCGTCTCGCTAAGTGGTGAGGGGCGTCAGTCGGCAGTGCGTTTCGAGGCTGTGCCTCTTTTTCAAGCCCGGAGTGAAAGAACAAAACCAAGAGAAAAAAATACAGCAAGTCCAGATGCCTCGATTTATTTTTTTTACAGATATACCATGACCTGGATGAATGACCTAGGTCAGTGGTGGCGAACCTTGGCACTCCAGCTGTGCCAAAACTACAAATCCCAAGATGCATCTGCCTCTGGGAGTTATGTCTGTGGCTGTCAGAGCCTTGCAATGCCTCATGGGACTTATAGTTCATAAACAGCTGGAGTGCCAAGGTTCGCCACCACTGCCCTAGGTCTATCACCAGCAGCTATGTACACAAGAGAACTACTACAGATGATAAAGCATTTGGAAACCTTCAGAATGGGGTTTAAAATGGAAAATGGTGCTAGCATTACACTTTCTTCTATGCTGTTGTAGGATGTATTTGAGTTTCCACACCAATTAAAAGAGCCAAAATACACACATGTGCAGATGCTACTTTATATTTTTATTATTTAAATAGATATATTTAAAACAGCCAGAAAGTTTACAGTAAATGAGATCTATATGCATTTAAATACATATTTCATTAGGAAATGCATGGAATTGATGTAGCCAAGGAGACCAGTACAGAAGGTCCTTGCTTTTTGGCCTCCACTATCTAAACAGCTCCCATAAGATTTATTAAAAAAAAAAAAAAAAAAAAAAGCATATTTTGCAACCTGCAAGGGATTGTAAGAGAGCTTCCTGAATAAACCAATTATATAAACAGCAAAATGATATAGCATCCTCTTGTGATCAGCTTATGAAACGGCAAGCATGATCTTTCAACCATTTTACACAGTAAAATATAACATTTCAGCACTAATGAAAGTTTTTTGTTTTTATATACTTGACTGCTCATTATGAAGATGAACGTCAAACACATCTCACAGTCACATCTTATCCTTATCGTATAATTTGTTAAATAAATAGTTCCAAATATACAGCTACAACTGTTTCAAATTATGACTGGCATATTACAGATGGACTTTTAATACTGTTTTAATGAATAAGAGCATCTATGTTTTCTAAGCATGTTAAAATGAAAGAGGAAAGCAGGATTGCTTGATAAAAGCTTGTTTAAATCTAGGATATGCTTCCCTTTTATTAACCAAAAACAGATACAGAACATAAGAACAAAATGTAAAGGAAACAAAAAGTAAAACAAATTCCATTAAAGGCTATACAGCCCAAGAAGTAAGGGCGGCTGATGTATGCCAGAGCATAGGTAAAAAGGAGGTGACCAAATCCATTGGTGAAGAAAATTGGCATTTCGTGGTTTCTTTCATGCTAAACTTAGAACACATGTTACAATGTATCAGGCGGGAACATCTTGTACCGTGTCTTGTTTTAATAGGACGCGCAGCACTGCAAATCAGATTAACAGTTGCACTTACATTTGTATTAGTGTTTTCACCCCAGCAAGATATCAGGGAAGAATGCTGGGACATGTCTAATTGGGAAAACGGTCTTATTGTCCATAGCGAGCAGTTTCCAGCTGTCATTTCTGTTACAATAAATCAAGGATCCCAGTTGCTTGCTATGGGCAACAAGACAATTGCTTTTAAACACACTCCATATATTCCTGGAGGGCTGAGACTCTGAGAACGTCTCACACTAGTGAGAAATGCTAGGCTATTATTTTCTATGGCAAGCTCTGTGGTCCTGTCACATCAACAGCAGAAATAAACTTCCATTCATTTTGAAGTAATGTGACCACAAAGCTGACACTCTGTTGTAGTAAACAAAGTTTTTTGTTCTTTTTCATTTCTGGAAAAAGTCAAAATGCTGATGTTTAAAGAAATCGGAACAAGTGGATTCCCAGTCTGGCTTTGGAAAAAAATTGACCATTGCAGAAGTTAAAATTTTGGTTGGTACAGGGAAACCCGTCCACTAAGGCACCCTGATGCTATCTGACAGTGGGTAGGAGAGAACTTCGTTGTCAGGACAACATCCCTATGAGAATATAGGGAGCGGATTTCTTGTAGAGTCCCGGCTTCCTTAGGTAAACAGTCTACAAGCTCACTGCACTGGGTATCAAAACCCAGCAATCGGATCCCATAACCATGAGGAGAGGCGATCATTCGTCCGTCTGGGCTGAAACATAGTTCTTTAATGTAACCACGCCCCACATTGGCCTCTTCAATGTAGTGGGTCAGACGCAAAGAGCAGCGTGGCGAGATTGGACGTACAGGGGCTCCTTCTTGAAATTCGTAGACACATGTCCACTGCAAGAAAAAGCACGAGACAAAAATAAGGGTAATATTCAAAAATACATTATTTTCATCAAAACACTCTACTTAGCCTCTGGGATAGCTGCATAACATTGGTTCATTCATTATTGAGGAAAGTGGAGAGGTATGGGTCCATGCCTGGCCCATTTTCTGTGCTGAGATTAGTTTGTTGTTAGAGGACATATATAAAATAGATACTTCCACAAGTATACAGGTGAAACTCGAATAATTAGAATATCGTGCAAAAGTAATTGCAGTAAGTGCTGCAAAAGGGGCCCAAACCAAGTACTGAGTACATATGCATGCTTGTACTTTTCAGAGGTCCGATATTGTTCTATGTACAATCCTTGTTTTATTGATTGCATGTAATAATCTACTTTTTTGAGGTTGTGGATTTGGGGTTCTTGGGGTTTTCATGAGCTGTAAGCCATAATCATCACAATGATGACAAATCACGGCTTGAACTATCTTGCTTTGCATGTAATGAGTCTATCTCATATATTAGTTTCACCTTTTAAGTTGCATTAGTGAAATAAATAAACTTTGCAGCATATTCTAATTATTCGAGTTTCACCTGTATATCATCACACCTGCCTAACTACAAAAAACAGCGTCTGAGCCAGGCCTAATTTCACATTGTAAACAGCCTGTACTAAGGGAAATATGGGGGCTGCCAAATCCTTATAAAATGCCAATTGCTGGGTAGTCACGCTATTGCTCGATCTACAATATTTTGAGTCAAAAGCCATTAGCTCAGCATGACAGCCAAGCAACTAGTGTTTTCTATTTCTCATATTTATCTAGGTTCCGGTTCTCAGATTAGTATAGAACCCCTTTAAGCAAAAGGAAATTGAATGCAAGCTCAAAGCTGCCCTGCATGTCACTCATAAGCTGTGGCCCATAAAACAGAAGCATAACATGGACTGCTTCTACAACCCAATGCAGTCATAACCTACCCCCATTGACAGTGTTCGGTTACTCATTCATTCAGTGTCAGATAATTGGCAGCAGTATGATGGAGTGCTTAGGGTCCTCTAAGTCTGTAGATGCTTAGGTGACTGCGGGTATAGGGGAAGTGCCAGTGAAAATGTCTGTGTGCTAATCACATACAAATAAGCACAACCTGCACATATAAAACAAGGCAAACCGCAACCTTCGTGGGCAAGTTGGGCGTAAGTCAAGTGTACCCAGCCTCACATTCTGCAAAGCCAAATGAGAGTTTACTCGATTTCCCTCGCAGTCCAGCTCCCAAAAATCTGAAGAGCTGTCAACTAACAGTCTGTTAAAAAGTTTGAGGACCCCTGCTATAAACCATGTAATCCATACAGTCTGGCATAGAAATGGGATTTAAAAGGACATCAAACTTGCCCCCCCTGCCCCCCCCATATATTTGGCAACCATTGCCACCCCAACAAAACAGGAACTGGTAGCTCTTACCTCTTGGTCATCAGTATTACTAGAACAACGAAGAAGTGTAGCCCATCCTTTGGGGTGAAGTTGCAGAGATGTAATGCAGTTGCCACGGTCTCTCTCTCCGGGAACCTCTGGGGTTAGAACCTCAAGGCTGTTACGAGGGGAAGCACCTGTGTCAAAAGTAACATATAAAAAGGTTCATATTCCTTTAGACATTTGGTTTAAAGCTGCTAAAAAGCTTAGGGTGCAGGCTCCAGTCCTGCCACTATAGTTGAATTCTGGGCCATTCTGATGGGCAAATCTCCTATGTCTCCTAGTAGTAATAATGGTTATTATTGGACATTAGGATATACTGTATGTAGAGGCTGGAAAGGACAGGCAAGCTTCAACACTACCAGGCATTCAAGAGTGTTGCTTGATCAGAATGGCCTGAGATTTGGCCATAGCCAGAAAGAAAGCAGAATAACGTGATAAACGTCATTTTAATTCACATGCCTCTACAAATTCTGGAGTTACCTCTATTAGGCTGACCATACAGCTAGAAAAGAAAATGTATTTTCACAATGTTGCATGAGAAGATCTCCAAATGACAGTGTGTGTGTTACCAAGCCAGTGATTTACCAGATTACAGATACTCGTCCAAATGCTCAGATGCCTAGACCGATACTTCCTGTATCAGGAATCCGGGCAGCGCATCATTACACGCTGCCCGGTTTCCTGATTGGCCAGGAAGCGGCTCCATGCTCTCTCGTCACTTGTGATGAGAGAGCATAGAGCCGACTTCCCTGCCAATCATGGAAGCCGGGCGCCATGTAATGACGCGGCACCCTGCTTTCTGATTGGCCGGGAGGCCAGGTTCAGCTCCCTCGTCAAACTACCCATGCACATATAAAATAAAAATAGAATACAGAGCCCCCTCTCCTGCTTAACTGTTTGCAGAGAGGAGGCTGTGAGGAGGAGGCAAATCGATCCCTGGTGCACTAGTGGTGATTAATGCAGACCTCACTACTCCATTCTTTCGGCCGGAGCTCAGAATTGAGCTCCAGCCGAAAGAATCTCAGTGCTGGGGAGGAGCAGCTCTGCATCTGATAGAGATGAAGTCAGGTATGCGGTCCGTGACCGCGTACCTGACTTGTCTGCGGGCCACATAATATCGGCTTGCGGGCCGCAAGTGGCCCGCGGGCTGGTACTTTGAGACCGCTGATCTAAGCATTTCCAACCATAATGGCACATTTTCTGAAAGAGGACCCCTAAGTCTGCTGAAGTGCAGACTGTCTATTCCTACCATGGCAGTAAATATTGACCAATGGGCAGCTGCAGATTATACAGCTTACCAAGTTAGCAATAGCACATACCTTCTCTCTGTGTTGCACGCAAATTAGGTTTGTCAAACAGGCAGCCCAATTCACTGTGATGACTTGGAGAACTAGATGACCTTGTTTCAGAAGATGTGGGTGAAGTGGTCACATCTGTGAATAGAAGATAATTAAATTTAGTAGACAGTATGCAGTCCATTTAGTATGTGACTAATAATACAATTCAGGCTGAATACAATAGTCTCACAAACACAGGTAGAATACTCTTCTGAAAATACTTTGCCAATAGTAGAACATCAGTATGCAGCCAGTTTATTACAATGGATTGCTCAAGTAATGACCATCTTTGGGCATTAAACTCTTGGACTCCGTGGGAGTGGGAATGAGCTAAGTGATAGTCCATTACACCGGTACTCTAGACCTAAATGAGCATTTAACCCTTGCAGTATAATTTTTTACCCCCTAGAGATAAAAAGGGGGAAAGTTTATGGCCAAACTGATCCTGTATCCTTAACTAATCATTGGACAGCAGATTACTTCCTGAGAATGACAAGCCCAGAATTGACATGTGCCCAGCTGGCTCCATTCACATCTGTGCATTGCAGATTGCGGTAACACAAGGTTAAAGAAAAAATAAACATTTTACTATGCATTGCCAAAACGCATGATGCACAGTGTGTTGATGTGCCATTCATTTGGCAATCAACGTACCTACCCCCGAGTACCGCAACTCCAAATTAACTACAACCACAACTATCCATGAATAAGAATGCTGCAGGTCCATTATAACGTGTGTTGTGGTACATGGGCAGCCCATTCAAAACGAATTGGATGCCTCACAGGAAAACACATTAACACACTCGTGGTAACACATTGCAACCCATCAGAAAGGTTTGAATGGAGAGAAGGTAGGTGTGTGTGTGTGTGTGTGTGTGTGTGTGTGTGTGTGTGTGTGTGTGTGTGATAAATCCCCGACAACCCACACTCTCAGTAGGTGCAAGCAATAGGATGTTTATCATTTATTGGCCCTACAAATAAGGGTACTATAGGCAATCTTTGTAAATGGCTTGTCTTTTTTGGGAAAATAGAAAAACAACTTCCTTTCTGGAGAACTGTGTTGAAGGAAATCTGTACTGAGAAAAATGTGAAGGCTGCCTACGTCAGAAAAGACTAGTTTCATGAAGATCACTAAAACACTGCCAGGGCGGGCTTTCAATAATCAATCTTTATTCAAATACTAAAGCAGCCCTGGCTGTGTTAAAGCCTTTTCCGACCTGTCAATTCCACTTTCACTGGACAGCCTGGTCTGCAGGTAAAAGGTTTAAAAAAGTTTACCTGCAAACTCCCAATGGTCAAGACACACCATGTCACATACCGGGAAGATTTTCCCTATCGGTTTAGAAAACCATTTGGCAACAAAGCGTTATATGACATATTTGGGTTCGTTACAGGAATATATGGAGAATGAATAATACGCCCCCTTCCCCCCCCCACATGGAGAATGGTAGACCTGCAGGCTGCATACAAGTGAGCTTGGCGACATCACTTGTACAAAACAAGCGGCGGCTTCACTGCTGTACACTTAGCTCTGCTTGCCCAAAGCAGGGCTAAATGTAGAAAACAACTACCCCGCCCGGCACCTGGAACTGCATGTCCCGGACATCGGGAGATAGGAATTCCACACCCCTGCTGCCCCTCTACTCCCTGCTGCCCCAAGGCTGGGCCTTGGTTGGTCTAGTGGGAAATCCGGCCTTGTATGTGCCACGAGGTGAAGGCTCTACATCATTCTTATCACGATAGACGCAAATTAAACTTTCCAGCCCAGCTCCATCCAACTCTTGTAGGTGGAATTCAGTTTTAGGTAGACAAAGTATTTTAAAATTCTACTCACCCGAAGTGGAAGCTGTTCTCCTGGCTCTTAAAATGGGATAACTTCCAACCTCTAAGGATTTTGTCAGGTCTAAATCATGTAAAATTAACAGATATCCAGAGGAAGTCGAAATTAACATTTTTGAACAATCAGGAGTTAATCTCATTCGCATTAAAAACCGAGTGTGAAAGAATTTCTTGTGTGGACAGCCATCTTCTGTACACCTGTGAATACAAGCATTAGCAATGAAAAGAGATGAAAACAAACAAAAAAACTTGTACATGGAAAAAAAAGACACATTTTATTATAAAAATAAATAAAGCTTATCTAAAAGTCAAAGTGCAGCTAAGATACAATACCATCTTCCCCACCACGGGGGGTTCGGCACTCACTGTCACGCATTTAGATTGTCACTTATTTTCGCTCTGGTTGCATGAGTGTCATTACTATTGTTGTTTTTCAGTGCTTCTTGCTCGTAGGATGTACTTGCTCAACGGGATGATGCTGGTTTGTGTCCTCCCATTACCCTAAGGAGAACTAGGGGGGAAAAACACTGACCCCATAGTTCTCCTTTAAGGTTCTTGTTTTTTAGTCTGGCGTAGCTGAAGATTACCAGGTCACATTGCTGTTTCATACAGCCTTGCTGCCAATGATCTGGTTAAAATGCCATCTTGTGCAGTGTTTGAATGTCCATGGATAAATATGACATCACTACTCAGCACCATCACAGTTGCGTAAAAAGAGTTAAAAAGGTACAGAATCAAAGACATCCAAAAATTGGAATACCTGACTGCTAGACTAAACAACACTTGGAAGCTGCACAAGAAGATATAGGAAGCTTGGGATGCATTGGAGCTGACTGGATGCAGCGGCTGAATGGACCGGGGGATATCGACCACGGTGGTAGGGGGCGTGAGATGTAGCCGGTACCTACCTCTTACTCTAACTTCTACTTCACTCATTCTCTTCCCTTTCTGTTCTATAGGTGGCCATACACTGTACAACCATCGCAAGACCTTAGTCTTGCGATGGTTGTAAAGTAATTTAAAAAAAAAACATACGATCTGCCCATCTTGGACAGGCAGATCGTACTCTCGATCATCGCAAGCCCGCCCCCCTGAGGGGCGGGCTTCCGATGACCGCAATGCTGAACGGGCAGTGCGCACAACGGCCCGTTCGACATTTGTCTCCCAAGCACCATTCAAAGCAGCCAAAAATCGTAGATTTTCGGCTGGTTTTCTAGCGTGCTCCCTATACAAAAGACGTGCGACCGTACAGTAAAAACGGTCGCACGTCTTCCATACACTTTGCGATTATCGTACGATCGCGGGATTTCCCGCGATTATCGTGCACTAATCGCACAGTGTATGGGCACCTTATGTCTTTCTTCTTCCAGGGAACTATCCTGGCCACCTCTTTTTGTTTGTATTCTAGGCCAACTTGACCTGGCCCATGCGTGGCACCAGAAAACGCTCTTTTCAGTATTATAACACTGCAGTCTACCTCTAACCCGTTCTACTGCTAAACATACGTAATGAGTGGGAAATGGGTGTATACCTACAATTTTTCTACGCAGGAGCAGTATTGCCTGCTAGCCATTATGTTTTCCTCTCATAAAGGTTACATGTCTTTCCTCTTGATAAGGGCTTGACTTCGCAATGGCTTTAACTATGCATGGTTGGCTGCCACACACTGTTTACGTGGTTATGGTCCGCATGCTATCCTACTCGATGTTTCATATTTCATGTCTGTCATTTCTGTAATACTTGCTTGTAAAACTCAATAAAGATTCAAAAGGTAATACAAATGTATAATCTGACTGACACTCTAAACCGTAATACTATATTTTATAGGCAGACCCATTAAAGCGGTAATGTAGTCCCCAAGGCAGTTGTCTTAATGTGTGCAAGTATGCACAGTAAAATTGCACATTATGGCAGATTCATCCGCTTGTTTGTCATCCCCCAATGATGACAGATCAGAGGTGTCCCACGCTGCTCTGTCTGCTGGAGCCACTATTTTCAATCTGGTGTACTTCCAGATTCCATTGCTTCTCTTTGGCTATTGGGTGGCCGCTTGTGATGCAACTCCTGCTTCTCTTCCTCAGCCCCTTATTGGAAGAAGAAAGGAGTAAGGGGCAGGACTTGAGCAGAGTCTGGTCTCACATTGCTAAATTCTAAAAATTCACTTAAAGTGATTTTAAAGCTTTATTCTTATAAATAGGAGGCCCATACTTTAAAACTCATTTGTTGTTTTAATTAAAAATATTAAGTTCCTCGTTCTCTATTGGGTCCCTGCATAGCTCTTCCCCCCCGCCCGAGTGCTTCCATCAGGTAAGCGGCCACTGCGGAGGCACCCGTGCGTGCTTCCTTCCGGCTGTGCGCGTCCATAGACACACACAGCACTCGCCTCTCCTCCCAACAGGTTGACTGACGGCAGAAAGAGCCTATAGCTCCTTCGCCCTCAATCTCCTCTCCTGCAACAAGGACGTATGGGACGGAGGATTGCTTTGAGGGCCAGCAGCAGTGACGAAGGGCGCTGACAGATAAGTGTGGGGGGGGGGATTGGTTTTAAGTGCGTGAGACACACACAAAAAAGGTACTGGGCATTTTTAACTTTAGTGCAGAGAATGCACTAAGGGGAAAAAAAAAACCCGCCATGCCTTTACTAATACTTTAAAGTTAACCTTAAAAGGAGAACTATGAGGCGAGTGCTTTTCACTCACCTCATAGTTCTAGCCGACCTGTGACAATGAGACTCGCGGTATACTGAGCCTAGGGTGACGGGAGGACGCTAGTTTGTGTCCTCCCGTTACCCTAATGAGAACTATGGGGAAAAGCCTTAATCCCATAGTTCTCCTTTAATCCGGTGTATACACTTTCATATATCTATTACCTACCACAGAGATCCCAGTATTCCCCCTGACAATGCCTTCATTTGCTACTTCTTGGACTTCGATATTGGCTCAGAGATCAAACATTCATGTAAAGCCTGCTGCCATGCAGTTCTTTGCAATGCTCACAAATGTTTGACAGGGTCATCCCCTCCTGCATCATCTTATCTTGCCACAAGTTACCAAATAGAGTGATCACAGGAGGAGAGGAGACTGAGGAAATTCTTACTCTTGACTGATGACATCATCTCAGCCTAGGAAAAGCACTGAACAGGGTGCTCTAAAGAAAGGTGAACTTCACTAGCTCCCTTTCACTGATTTTGATAAGTATTCCAGCTCATAGGTTTGTCCCACCAGTAAAATCTCAGTTCCCTTGCATCAGGTTCGCAGAAGCCAGCAGATCAGGTTCAGGTTTTAAAGTACCAAACACAAAATTAAAGTCAAAGAATAATAAAAAAAAAAAAATGGCAAAAGCAGTACCCTGTGACAGCTTTATACTTCCCTGTCCAGTGGCCCATTTCATGAAACACTGCTCGGTTGCACAGCTCGCAGTGCCAATGCAAGTTAGTGTGTTGAATAAAGGCTTTCCCCACTGGCCACTCTGGTACCTCCTGCTGACCCCTAGTCAATGTGGGGCACAGTAGTGACCGAGTGATGTAGAGGTCATCAGGAGGAACCACAGCAAATGGCAGAGAAAGCACTCTTCCACACATCACAGAAGTGAGGGATAGGGTTGGTTCAGGGAGCTCTGCTACAGAGATAGGTTTCAGCAAACTGACAAAGACAGGCAAGTAAAAAGCGGTTTTCTTCACAGGTCTGTTCTTGGCATTTTTAAACTCCCCGACAGGATTGCTTCAAGGCCGTAATGGAGTAAACATACCTATTTGTGTCCCAAATGATGACATTGCCATCAAATCCAGAAGTCACCAAAAGCCTTGTATGTGTGTCATATTCGATGTTCTTCACCCAGCTGGTATGACCATGTAGTGTGCACACCTTAGTGTTTAGTTTTCTCAGGTCCCACAATGCTATTGTTGTATCATCAGAGCAGGTTGCAAACAACCGGTTGTCAAGAAATCTGAATAAAAAAGGAAAAACATTACAGTTACACGTCTATCCTGGGCAAGGAACGCTAGACAAATGCCAATCTTTAAGACGTACTCTAATGACAAGATGTCCAAGATAGGTTCGAAAGAAGAGACTTAGGAAGGGATGTAGCCCCATGGAGGCTAGCCTACCTTATTTACTGGATTTATTGTGCCATAGGCGTTATTTTAAAAAATCTGGTAAGAAACTTGTCCTAGCCTAATCGGAATAAAAGACACTCAAAAACAGAAATATGAACTGTGAAAATATTGAGAGTCAGGCCTTTATTAAGACCAACAGGAACACATTCCACCACCTTCTCTCACTGAATTCTGCTTAAAGGAAACCGATGGGAATGGAAATAATGTCTGTGCATTTGCAAGGTGTTAGAAAATTTGACTACTCCAAAAAAAGTAAATTCCCTAGCATAGCTCCTTCCCTTGCATGTTACAGACCTCTCCTCTTCTGGGATTTTCTAATGAATGTCTGCTATGGCCCAGCTCATCCACATCTCCCTACATTACCTTGTATGCAGTTCTGTCAGTTGAGTGACACCAGAGTCTGCTGGGGCTGCTGATATCACCTCTAAGATGGTGTCAGTAGCCAGGCATCAGGGTCTAGGTGTTTGGAAGTCTACACAAGGGAGGCATTTACAGGTAAATAGCATGCATAAAGTATGTGTACTGCAATCTATCCCTCCATGCCAAGGTCCTAGGTGTCATCCCGGACTTCACCTTTCTTCCCACATCCAATCATTATCCAAATCCTGCTGCCTTCACGTTCGTAACATCTCCAAAATACGCTCCTTCCTCACCAAAGAAACTGCAAAACTACTCATCCACTCCCTTGTTAGATCTTGTCTTGACTATTGCAACTCCCTCCTCATTGGCCTTCCACTACACAGGCTATCGCCCCTTCAGTCTATCATGAATGGTGCTGATAGACTCATTCACCTATCCATAAACTCAATGTCTGCATCCCCCCATCTGCCAATCCCTACACTGGCTTCCAATAGCCCAAAGGTTAAAATTCAAAATATTCCCCAACACTTACAAAGCCATTCACAACTCTGCCCCCGGCTATATCTCAAACCTGGTCTCAAAGTATCACCCTAACTGTGCCCTCCGCTCTTCCAAAGACCTCCTGCTTTCCAGCTCCCTCATCAACTCCTCCCATGCTCGCCTCCAGGACATCTCTAGAGTCTCTCCCATTCTCTGAGACTCCGTACCCCAACCTGTTCAACTATCTCCAACTGACTGCCTTTAGGCGATTCTCTTCAAGGAATCCTATCCCACCTCAAACTAACCACTGAACTATCACGTTCTTAAACAATTCATCTCCACACAGCTACCTCCTCATGTATCACTTTTAGATTGTAAGCTCTCACGGGCAATGGCCCTCCTTACCATCGTGCCTTGAATTGTATTGTAATAATGCCCTGCTTTAAGCAACCTGTTTATTCTACATAATTTGTGATGATTCATTTTTCATTGTTATTAATTCTATGTTAAATTTTAAACCAATAAAATATTTTAAAATCGGAATTGTGATATCTTCCTTACATTGTAAAGCGCTGCGCAAACTGTTGGCGCTATATATATCCTGTATAATAATATTAATAATCTAATCTTATAGGAAGGTTTTTGTTAAATGGTCTGGCAACAGGGTGACTAATGTTGTGACATTAGTAATCATAAAGAAAGAGTGGTGCATGTCTCAATCCACAAAGGGTCCATTCAAAAGGAATCACTCACCTGATATTATTTACACAGTCTTCATGTGCCTCTGAAAGGGTTTTTATGTGCTTTGAAGACACGGGGTCAAAGAGCAGGACTTCCGTTTGTTCACAAGCCACTGTCAGTACAGACCTAAACAGATAGGTTAAAAAAAAAAAGTTATAAACCAAGCAAAACAGGACGTGTAAGATGTACTTTTCATCACTAAGCACTGTAATCAATAAACCAAACTATTCCAAGAAAAAAAAAAAAAAACATACATGGTATGCTATCATTTCGTGTCTCATGGGCAATATTTCAGCAAATTTCTGAAGAATTCCCTACTTGTAGGCAAGTAGCACTATTTTTTCCACCTGTGTCCCATTAGGGGAGATTTCCATTCACTTCCTATCCTGAAGGCATAATAGGAAGTGAAAGGAAATATCTACAATGTAAGGAAAATCACATGTTAAAGTGTATTTCCACTTTGAAGCCAAATTGGGATAACAGCTATTTAATATCTATTACATGTTCCCATTCACACAGCATAAGCTAAAAAGAAAAACAAATATTTTAAAAAATGCTTCTTGCAGTCTAAATTGCTTTTGAGTCTGGGCTTCTTAAAAGGGGAACTCCAGGATTTTTAAACGTTAACCCTTGCAGTGGGGCTACTCCTAGCACTGCAAGCATTAAGTGCTTGTTTTTTTTCTAGCGGCTGGGATAAAGCAGATATATTTACCAATATTTGGTCCTGCAGAAGTTACTGCTGACTTCTCTCCCCCTCTGCATCCTCACATCTAATACACTGTATTAGACGCAATGACGTTACAGGTCCTTGCAGTGCCGGAGCCCGGGGAGAAGAGGCTCCGGCAGTGTAAAGGACCTGTAATGAGGATCAGGTGAGCATATCTTCTTTATTTTCGCTCCCTAGACAAAACAAACAGTTCAACCTTGCAGTGTGGCGGTAGCCACACTGCAAAAGTTATTTTTTTTACATTCCTTTGTTCTACTCTAAGGGTTAACATTTCTACTTGCTTTTCTTTCTTTGAAATGCTAGCAGTGGTTGTGAGGGGTTTGTTAACCCTGTCTGTGCTGCCTGATTTCATTATGATTTGTAAAGTAGATGTGAACACTGCCTGTTCCAACAAAGGGTTAAAGGATTACAACCCTGGCTTCTTCATTCTATGTTTTGGTTGGAGTGGGTTGTCAGTATGTTAGCTGCACTGCGTTTTCGTTGCGTTTGTGACGCATTCGTGCATTTCCGGACCTTACAAAATGTGACATGCAGTATTTTTTCTGTCCGAACTGCGCTCGTGAGAACTGTAGCCCATAAAACACATAGGGATACATTGGGATGCATGAGCGCACAGATCTGGTCTGGACAGAATCCGGACGTCGTGTGAACAAGCCCTAAGTCTTTCTATAAGGACAGATCACTCTGAAGGTGCTCAGAAAAACCTGAAATCAGCCATGTTGCCTGCTGCAACGAAACATCTAAAAAGGCAAGAAATATTTGTAAAAAGATTTTGGGGGTACACTGACTGAATAGGAACCCATAGAGGGGTTTTCTCAAATGACAATACACTTTACACTCACCTTAAGTGCTTGAATTTCAGACGATTCCTGCGGAAGCAGCTCATATTCAAACCATGGGTGGCCTTGTCACCCCCAAACCGGCTCAGCAAAAGTCAATTTTTCAATCAACTTGTTGAAAGAACCAGTTTTAAAATTATTGGCTTAACAAAACCCGTGTCCAATCAAATACAGGCCTGTTCAGGTATTGAGTAGCCGCTGAATACAATGCAGTGGGGATTCCTTTATACATACTGTTTAGCAGGGCTAGCAGAAACGCTGGGTGTCTCTCCTTCAGCCCATGGGGCTGAATGAGAGAGAGAGTCTAAGCACGCATGTTTAGCTTTAGACAGTTGTCACTAGAACAAGTGTCCCCAAAATTTCCACTCTATCCCTTTTCTGTTGAAAATTCTACATTTTGGATTTTCCCTCGCTTTTCAGTCCTGGTGACAATGGACATCAGGACAAAAAAGGTTAGGTGAATGTCCCCAGGGAGCCATAAGCGCTAGTTCACACCATTCTCAGTGCGCTCTGGCCTGATCGTGACCGGAACGCACTGGATGGCATTGCAAGCGGCTCACTTTGTTTTGGGGCGGGACAGTGCATTTAACTCAATAGCACCCCAGCCATGCCCTCCGGCTGCACGGGAACCCAGTGGCACATCAGTGCCTGTGTTCCGGGCCGGTGTAGTCAGAAAAAGTAGTGCACGCACTATTTTGGATGGTGTGAACTAGACAAAAGATATCTTATAAAAGGAGACTCGCCATGAGAGAGGGATTCCAGCTAACTGCTCCTTACAAATGACAGCTGCCTCCTAACTTTTGATTTTCTCTCTAGTCTAGTCTTGGAGCTGGAAAAGTATCTGTACCCGTACCGAGTACGGGACTTGGTATTGGTGGATCCCTAGTTTGGACCCCCACATTTCTGATCTGCATACTGTTTTTGGGTCAGTGTATTAGTCAGAACGTATTTGCATTCAACAAGACAACTAGCAAAAAAGTTACCTCTTGCAGTGGGGCTACCCTTGTACTGCAAGGGTTAACTGCTCGTTTTTCCTCTAAGGGTTCAAATCAAGAAAAGATACTCCCCTGATCCTCAGTCGTGTGGCAGTGACAGCTCACGTCTCTCCCCCGTCCACTCCAGCTACGGTATGTCCCTCATGGGTCCTTAGACCGCTGGAGCCTGTGGGAAAAGAGGCTGAGGGGACCGGTCTTGTAGCCAGGTGGGACCAAACTTTAAATGAGTATATTTTTTCTCTTTGCCCCTAGAGAAAAACAAGCACTTAACCCTTACAGTGCCGGGGTAGCCCCACCACTTCCCTCAGCCCCCGCTGCACTTAATTGTGTGAAGTCCCCTCCAGCCGGTGTAGCGGTCTGTACACCAGACTTCCCAGCTCCGCAGTATGGAATGCTAAAAATGCTTGCAAAAAGGCGAGTGATCATTGGTCAGCATGGTCACATGACCATGCTGACCAATGGGAAGCGCTTCTTACGTCCGAACTTGGTCCCTGGTTAGGATGCGCTTCTCATTGGTCAGCATGGTCATGTGACCAAAGATCACTCTGGCATTTGCAAGCATTATGAGCATTCCGTACTGCGGAGCTAGAAAGTCTGGGGTACAGACCGCCGCACCTGCTGGCGGAGGACTTCAGACGTGTAGGTGCAGCAAGGTGATGGGGGAATCTATTGATTTCTCTTCTTCATCCTGTGGGGCTGAATAAGCCACATCTGAATGTGTATAGCTAGAAATAGAATTAGTGGGTGTTGTGATGTCATTATTTAGCTGACATTTCCTAATAGGTGGGTTACATGATGTACTGGCACCAGCACTGCTATTCCTTACCCATCAGGCGAGTACTCCAGATTAAATACAGCCCCATGTGTCCTTGTGCTGAGATTCATGGAGTCAGTTGGCTGGATGGAGCTATACAAGCTGGTCATTGTCCTGTAATTGTCCCGTGCCGGATCCACACATAGCCCCCGGCCCAAGCACCTGTCCTTTAGCCAGTAGAAGAGGTTCCCAGCCCCCACTGCCGAGCCCCCCGACTCAGGGAGCTCCGCGGGCGGCTCTTCAGGGGCGGGGACAGAATAAGGCTGGCTGACTTGTGCAGGGGGCTCCTCCTCCGCAGAGTCATCTCCAGCGCCTCCCTCCTGGCGATCCTCCGGACTCTTCTCTGATGTAGCGCTCATTCCGCTCACCGGAGACAGGTGTGGTGAGGGAGATAGAGGGCGCCGCTACAGGCAGCCTTTAAACGTTCTCATCCGAGGCCTAGGCGGAGGAGCAGAACACTGGAACATGACACCGCAGCCCCGGGTGCTCGTCACCGCTGATGGTACGATCGCCGCTGAATGGGTAACGACGTGCGCCGGGTGATGAGCTAGCAGACACAAGCACGTCACCGTGCACACATCTTACGCTGCGCCGCTTACCTGGGGGAGGGGGCTGTTCTGACGTCACTCGGAAGCGCCGAGGTGCCATGTTTTGTTCCTTGGGCGCGCTTTGATTTCATGCCTGTTTCAGCCATAGTATTCGATTAATTTAGTGATACAATTGTAGCATTTGTAGTCATTTTATTCGAATAACATCGTTCTGGTCGGGACGTCACAAGGCAGCGCAAGAGAGTGTTATGATCACGAGTTATGATCACTCTTTTGTCGCTAGGGGGGGGGCATGTACATGAGAGGGACCCCATAGGAAAGCATTGTTAAAGGGTTTGCCTTTGTGGACTGAGAAACGTTTTACACAGGCACCTAATCGTGTGTTATGTGACAAGTGAGGATTTCTAGTAGACAATTCATTTTGCGGACAAAGGTGACGGCAGGAAAAAAAAGACGCCGGCCTGCACTTATCAGGTCAACCACCAGGTGGCGGTATTAGACTGACACTACTGTCCACTATATCTTTATTAAACTCCAGGAATTTACAAAATTAACCCTTGCAGTGGTGCTGCCCCCGCATTGCAAGGGTTAGGAGTCCGTTTTGGTCTACGGGCTGGATTGGAGAAGATATACTCACGATCCTAAGTGGGTAGGCTCACTGCAGGGGTTCATTTTGTTCATTCCTGAAGTTTTTCTTTAAAGTGTATAGCAAAGAAAACAAACACATTTCGTACATCTCAGCACAACAATACATGCTCATTTGCCCATGTTTTATCATTTTACAGACGCTGCAAGTGTAGAAAATACCTGTTGACCTGCAATAACTGCACTCAGCTCTGTTGCGGGCTGACAACACACAGCATTTTTGTACAGTGAACGGTGTCATCCCTCCCATGTGTCTTTTGCTAAACTCAGTGGAAAGAGAGGTCTTTTCATCAGGGCATATGATGTCACCTGATGAAGAGACCCTGTGTGGTCTCGAAAGGTTGGCTCCTGTGTTTGTGTGACGTTTATGTCCATTAAAAGGGACCTGTAGGATCATTTTTACTGAGCGCTGGTGACCTCTCTTTCCACTTTGTACTTGCACGGTGCCATCCGTGGTTATCATTGCAAGCACCGCCTTATGTATAGGCCTGGACTGCTGAAAGGTGTGCGGAGGATTCCCTCATCTACCCACTTTTGCTAAACTCAAATCACCTCCACTGTTGGATCTCTCCAACATAAAGGTTAGTCATTCTGTAGTCCAAGATAACAACTAGGAGGGCTGTTTCAGATAACACAGGACAGTTCTGAATTCTGACATGATCAACACTGGATAGGAGGTTGGGCTTGGTGTGGACCCAGTTCATCTGAGTTCACCCAAGAACTGTGACTGCCACCCTTTCTTCCTGATTCAATCAGTGGCAGCAATGTCATTCCCCGTCCCATTGTGATGTACGGCTGTGAACTGCTCCACTGCCAACTGATTAGGTTGGGAGGAGAGGGTGGTAGTCACAGTTTTGAGCAAGCCCAGGCTCATTCTTAACCAACATGTATCTTTTGGAATTATCAAGGAGATATAACAAAATGCTTCCAATGGTTTATTAAACAGACCAAATGGGAGCTTATTAGAAAAGAAGGCGGCAAATCATTTGTTCTGCCTTTGTGCTATTGCAGCACATATGTAAGAGCAAGGTAGGAAAGAGATATTAATGAAAAGGAACCTGTCACTTACATCACAGACTGCAACCATCAGCCCCCTGTAAAATTTGACAAGTCCAATAAATTACCTCTAAGGCCTTTTCCACACTGAGAGTTTTGTAGTGTTTTTTCTGCCCTAAAAAAAATGCACCCGCCCAGGGGCGTAACTAGAAATCACAGGGCCCCATAACAAAAGTTTGTATGGGGCCCTGTGATTTCTAGTTATGCCTTTGCACAGCCCACTTGATATCCCAAACAGCCCACCTGAGAGTGACCCTGCAGAGCCCATCGACTCTCTATGGTGGGCTCTGCGGGGTCTCAGGTGGGCTACACACCTCTTACCTGTCAGCTCTGATCCGCTGTCCACCTCCATGGTCGCTGGCAGGCCACACCTCCTCTGTCACCAGGCTCCACTTCCATCGTCAGGCACGCCTCTGCTTCTGATGCCGGGCCCAGCCTCCTCCCCAGCTGCTGGCTGTCACTGACTCAGCAGTGAGGAGGAAAGCGCCGCTGCACAGATCACTGACAGGTTGTCGTGATCTAACAGCGACATGTTCCTCCTCACAGCCACCAGTGACAGCCAGCAGCCTGAGATGCCATAGCGACCCAGGCGGCCCACACAGCATCGGGGGGGGTGTGCTGGCCGGGCCCCCCTGTGCCCCATAGCAGCGATTGTTACGGCACTGCCCCCCCAAATCCCATTAGGTCACATGGCATTGTTCACATCTGAGCATTTTGTCACAATAAGCAAAACCCCTGTGGTTGCTCATTAACATCAATGAGCTACATTCTGCGCATAAAAACGCGCAATTTGATTTATGCACAGAAAACGCGCAAAAAATGCGCAAAAGTGTTGTCGTCTAGGTGTGAATCCAGCCTTACAGAGATACAAACCCTGCTGCTATCTAACTTCCAGGGGTGTTAGATAACATTTTCCCCCTCTTGGTGCAATGGTTCTTCCTGCCAACTGCTACATCACTACAAGACACAGTTAAGATGCTGCGACTGGCCAAAGGAACCACAACCTGTAGAATAGGTAATTCTTCAATATGTTTCTTAAGGTGCCCATACACAGCACGATTCTCGTACGAGAATCGCGGGAGATCCCGCGATCGTACGAGAATCGTGCAGTGTATGGAAGGCGTACGACCGTTTCTACTGTACGGTCGCACGTCTTCTGTTGAACCAGCATGCTAGAAAACCCGATTCTCGGTGAGTTAGTGGCCTGCTGGTTCGACAACTGCCGAACGGGCCGGTGTGCGCACGCGCACACAGCCCGTTTGCAGTCATCTTAAGCCCGCCCCTCATTGCAGTCATCGTAAGCCCGCCCCTCAGGGGGGCGGGCTTGCGATGATCGAGAGTACGATCTGCCTGTCCAAGATGGGCAGATCGTACGTTTTTTTTATCACTTTACAACCATCGCAAGACTAAGGTCTTGCGATGGTTGTACAGTGTATGACCACCTTTACAGTGGGCGGCTGGTTGAATTTCATGATCCTAGGGACAATGTCACTTTAAAATGCAATGGCCCAGTGCAGTTTTGCTACCACATATGTATCTCCTTCCAAATTGTGTGGTGCCTGAATCCATTTCCACTTCTTTCCCCAATGACTCTGGAACCTCAAGCCTTGTAGTCATCCACAATGGAAGGCTGCTGTGTAGTCCACTTCATCCCACCCTATGCACCTTCCTGTTGACCCCCGCGGGCCATTGTATTTGCTGGCTACAAGGAAGATGGAGGCATTGGAAATGACATGGTGCCCATAGAATTCATCCAACCTTTTTTGAAATTCCATTACTGTTGTTTGCCATCACTGCTTCATGTAATAAAACATTTGCCAGTTTAACCACCTTTACTGATATCAAGACTATTCTTTTCTCATTATGGTACCTCTTAGAATTTATAGACTTTCAAAAGTAGTAGGAATGTATTTTAATAGCATTAGCAATCTATTTTTCAGCTGTGCAAACTTGGATTCTGTTACTTATATTTCACTTATGAAATATCAGTACATTCAGTCATTAGGAATTTAAATACTTTCCCTAAAGTCTATCTCCAGGGAAATTTAAAAAAAAAACCCTTTACAGGGGCCTGCTATCCCACTGCAAGAAATAACTGCTTGTTTTTGTCTAAGGCCTCGGTCACACCAGATGCAGTGCGTTCCGGCTCGATTCTGGCCAGAACGCACTACCTCATATTGCAGCCGGCTCACTTTTTTTGCGGGGCAGGAGGGGGCTTGGCGGGCCATTGAAGAGAATGGCAATGCAGCCACTCCCTCCAGCCGCACTGCGATCGGCCGCACGGGAATGCAAGGCATATTATGCCTGCGGTCCGGTGCGATCAAAATAGTGCTTGCAGAATTTTGATCGGACCAGACCGCAGGCATAATGTGCCTTAAGATCCCGCGCGGCCTATCTCATTGCGGCCGGCAGGCGTGGCTACAGTACCATTCACTTCAATGGCACGCCAAGCCCCCTCCTGCCCGCAAAAAAGTGAGCTGGCCAGAACGCACTGCATCTGGTGTGAACAAGCCCTAAAGGTGCTCATACACCTTACAGTTATCGTTAGAAAAACGAATGTGATCCGCTTTTCATACGATAATCAGCCAGGTGAATGGAAGTGTATGAACACTGCACATGCACAAACGAAAATGTGTTCTATCGATAAACAATATTCAGCCAGTTAGTATTGCTGACAAACGATTATCGAAATCTACATTGGTCTGTACGTGATGGGTTATTTCTGTGGAAATTGAACGAGGGTGCGATGATGGGACAAAAAAAAAATTGAACGATAATTATAAGGTGTATGGGCAGCTTTAGGGTATTGTGTAAAGGTCTTTTACTTACCTGATCCTCGCTCCACCAGCAGTCAGTGCTCACCTCTCTCCCTTACACTTCGGCTGGTAGACTGTTCCTCAATGTCCCCACATGTAATGCAGAGCTGTGGGCCCTGTATTAGAGGTGATGATGTCAGTAGGCCTCTGAACCTGGGGAAGGGGGTCAAGTTTGTATAGGTGAAGATGGCCATACACCTATAGATTATCTGCAGATTTTCTATGGTCAGATGGAAAAAGTGCAGATTCCTCCGTCTAAGCTAAACTGTGTGGATGAAGGAATCTCCTATTGGGCCAAGCTTCAGTATCATGATAGTCGGCCCCGCTGGCTCTCAAAAATACCTCAACAATCTGAGTGGTTGCAGGCACTTGCGGCCCGCTTGCTGTTTGACAGCAAGTGGGGCCAACTAGCAAGTTACTGAAGCTTGGCACAGCAGGAGATTCCTCTGTCCACACAGTTTAGCATTGATGGAAAAATGTGTTGCACTTTTTCCATCTGACCATAGAAAATCTGCACATAATCTAT